CAGTCAATTAGAGCTGTGCAAGAGTCGGCTTAGGGAATTAGAAAGTACCATAGAATTTTGCAAATTTTTTTGGCCGTGTGCTAAATTAGGTGTTACAAATCCAGTGATGAACAAAATGCTTGTTGGTTTTTTAGTGCAAAAGGGCTCTTTGATACAGGGATTGAATTTCAGATTTACTCTAAGCCCTTAGGTTTGGAGTTTACAACTGTGGTCACTTTCATTGCTGGATGCTTGAGTTCCTTCTCCAACTTTCTGTGAAAACTGGTGTTTGGACGGGTGCAACTTCACCTGGGGGTTATAGAACTGGAGAGTATGGTTTCATCTCTCAGAAGAATTTCCTGCTCAGCTAGAAATAGGTAAGATTTCTTGGTTCTTGCGAAGGACGCAAAATCAATTCAATTTTCAGGTTCTATACTGGGTTTCAACATGTGAGAAGTTGGCTCTTACGGTAGTAGCCATACTGCCATGGCAGGGTGAGCACAATTGAAGGCATTCATTTTACCAGCAATGGATGACTTTGAGCTCTTGATTTTGTGCAAACACTTCTGGGTCGGCTGAGAGACCGTCCCAGCCATAGTCATTGGAGTAGTTCCTAGGGAGAATTTCTTCTTGTCTCTTTCTATGACTGGAATTCTTTTATAAAAAACAAGGGTCTCAGAATTGGAGTTGTGCTTCATAATGACCACACTAATTCGCAAAGGTTAACACTTAGGCACACTAAAAATCATGATTATTTGTCTCTGCTGGTAGGTAATCTTTGCACTTTTTGGTGTTTTACATGTTGCTTCAAATATATGATGATAGTAAATAGCAACAAACTGAGAATGGGCATAAGGAACATTGAGCATGATGAGGTGCTAGGAATCTAGGTGTTGGATGGCTTCTTTTCATTTTTTTTGCCTATAAAACTCTTAGCCAACATATCTTAGAATCTTTTTGGCTCAGATTTAAACTTTTGAGAACTTCTATTAAGACTTGCCAACCAGCCAACATTTTGCTGGGTATTTCTTTGAACCTTCAAAAGCTTTGAACAGCTCTAAAACCATTTTGCTCTCCCATGTCTTGGTGTATTGTAGTATATCTCTGTATAATCAATGCTTGTTTTTGAGGGTATTCTTTGATCACAAAACCAGTTTTGTACATTTATATCACCAAAGATCTAAGAAAATTCTAATCTACACTCCCAAATGCCTAAAAGAGCCTTTTTAAGTCTGTGGTTCATTTGATACCATTGCAAGGTTTACAACCCACAAAATATAAGTAATAAATGT